AATTTTGATGGCAGCCATTTTGTTTCAAGATGAAGACTCATACCCACTAAGGTATCATTTCATACCTTAGGAAGACAGAGCTTCTTTCTAAATCGGTCAATTTCTTAAGCACTTGAAACGGAACCAAGGTCTAGAAATACGAAATCCAGAGAGTTCTCTGAGATTCACAAACACAGAGAACTAAACCTGCCTCTGGGAAGACCCAGGGCTCTGGAACCGCCTTTCCCATAATCTGGCTCTGCCCGTATCCAGTCCCACTCTCCTTCCACGCGTGGGAGCGCAGAGTTGTTTTCAGAATAGAGCCAAGCACACACTTGGAATCCCAGCTTCTCACCAACTCAAGATAGATCCCCATGGAAACCAACAGAAAGGAGAGGCAGAGATAAATATCCTTCTTTCAGGCCTGGATACCCACTAATCAGCCTCCTCCCTCCCAGCCTGCTGTAACAGTGAAGAAAATGCCTGTTGAAATGGTGGCTCCATTGTCCTGTCCCCTCAGGGGTCTGGGCAGTAAATGCCAGAAACCACTGTTCCTAAGGGGGCTTTCCCAGTCCTCACACTGTCACCGAGTTGGCAACACAGCCATTACAAGGGCTGGTCAGAGAGACCTGAGTTTGGGACCCTATGACAAAAACTGGAGGTGGGGAGGCCTTGGGCTGGGTACCTAAATTCTCTGAGCCTCAGTATCCTTGGCTTATAATAGATCTGATAAAAATACTTATCTCCTATGACAGTTAAATAAGATAATAATGTGAAAGCTTTAGCATAAAGCCCAACATCCAGTAAGCATGTAATAACTGTTAGCATGTTTATTATCATCTAGTTCTTGGGCAAGTCAGTCCTTTGATCTCTTCATGTCTCAGCTCTCTCACCCATAAAGCAGAAAAGGAGATGGGACAACCTGATTCTGAAAAGTTCCTTCTAGCTCTGGAAGCACGGAATGCATCCTTGTCCATGAGACTGGTGAGGGGACTGGGGCACGGTGGTTCAGAACTTTAAAACACATCTACTCAGTACTCCTGGAGCAAACTGGCCCAGGCAAGCAAGCTCAATAGAAGCATGTTCCTTCTGGATTATATCTAGGGAAGGGAAATTATCATTCAGCCTCTATCACTGGTGAGCTGACCTTACTAGGCCTGTTTCCCCACTTGTCCAATAATGTTAAGAATCCAGAATGAGCAGCTTTACCCTGAAATGCCCACTGGGCCACTCGGCCAGACCTGTGGGTGGTTGGGAAGGTGGGGACTGTATCTTCCAGGGCTTGAAGCTCCACCATCATCCACTACCAGGGGTCTACCAGGGGTGTCGCCCCAGCCTGGGGCTGCAGATGGGCAAGAGATGGGGGAGTTTATCTTACCAGGCCGAGGTTCAGGGTGTTGTTGTCATCTTCTGGCATAGGCAGGTACACCGCCAGGGCCACACAGTTGGCAAAGATGGTGAGCAAGATGATGGTCTCGAAGGGCCTGGGGCCAGGGTTAAGGAGAGCCCTTGAGGAGGCCTGGGATATGCAGCAGTTAGGGAAAGAGAGCGCTCAGGGCCAGTCAAGACTATGACCATCATGCTAGGCTGACGGGCTCAGGCCGTGCAGTCCCTGCTCTCTTACAGGCTAGAGAAATGGCTGCTCCTAGCTGGGGACCTGGCTCCCCCTCATTGGAGCATGGGAACTCTGGAGCTCTGACTCCTGGCTGAGGGCTACTCGAAGCCCAGAGCCCACCCCTCCCAGGGAGCTATGACTTTCTGAGATCTTGACCAGAGAGTCTGTGGGGGCTGACTCAGAGAACTGGCAAGGGGTGCTGAGGCTAAGGGGGGGTTTGGGTTCGGTGTCCATAGCACAGGACCAGGAAGGGAGACGGAAAGATGGAACCAGAATCTCTGAGCCCGAGGAAGGGATGGATATGAGATGGATGGGAGCCCCCAGAGCCCTGCACACACTGAGGCATACATCTCACACACACCCCTAGGTGGGCCCACCCCCACAGTCACTTTCCAGAGGACACCTAGGCCCATTTTTTCTCCAGCTTGCTGGTGAGCATCATGACCAACCAGAGGTCGTGGGGACCATGTGGACAGGGTTGAGGGAGAGAAAGGGAGGAGGGTGTGACTTGTTTGAGTGGTTATGGGGATGAGGGTGGGGTAGATGGGGTGAGAGGCACATTAGGTAGCTGGGTTTGATTGAAACCTCCCAGTAACCTCCAGGGTTTGGGAAGAAAAGGGGACCACAGGGACAGAGGCCTGGAAGAAAGAGCCCCAAGGAGCCCAGGATGGAGGAGGAAGAGCCACCAACCTACAGGAACAGCCTGCTGCCCAGGCCAGCAGGCGGGAGGTCAGCAGGAGGCTGAAGTGGCCTAGCACAGCTGTGGGGGGCAGACTGACCACCCACCCAGACTATCTCAACCAGGGCCATGGCTTTTTGTTTGTCACCTTCCCATTATCTCTCATTCTCTTTTCTTTCAGAACAGCTGGTGGGAGCCCAGACTTCCAGAACCCTTCAGAAATATTTCAAATATTCCCTACTCACTTGACACAGGCCTCCCCTCCTCTCCACAACTCCTTCCTCCCTTCCCCAAATAACCCACATATTTTCATCATTCTTCCTCCCAGAGCAGTGCAAACATAGTAAGGGATCAAGTCCCTGTCCCCTGGGTGGTGAGTCTGAGCTAAAATAGCCAGTGCTGCTTGGCCTGGGCCTTGCAGCCATTCACCCCACTCTGGCGATTTCTCCTCAGCTCTATCCCCAGCTAGGATTTCCCCAAGTGGAAGCCTTCACCAGCCCTCACTTTCCTCTTCACTTTCACCCCATCCATCAAAGGGAGTGGATTTCCTCACAGAGACCATCACCCTCTCCCAAATCCATCCAATTCCAAAATGAGCCTGTTTCAAAATCTTGAAGCACGCCCCATGATAATGTGGATTTGGGTCTACCTGGGAGCAGCCGCACGTACCCCCTTGGCCTTTCACAGATGGCCACGAGGCATCTCAGGCTATCATCTGCCGCCCATTTGGGCCCCAGGAACCCCACTAGTTCCTCCTCCTCCCACCGCTGTTGAGGACTCCCTTTCCCAAGGATCCTCATGCCATTCTGGGGCAGCTCACCCCATCTCATCCAGTCTCCTGGCCCCCAAAGTTTGGGGCTGTGACACCCCCACCTCCCTCTCCCACATCATAGCAAGGGTCCCGCATGCAGCAAGGGTCCTAAAGGATACTTCCATTCCACGATGCTGATGCAGGCCTTCCTCAGGGGGTTCTGCAGGGTGAGGCAGAACAGGGCCCGGGGCGGCCGGGGCAGGATCTCAGGAACGGGCTTCTTGGGCTGTTTCTTCCTCTGACCCTCATCCTGGGGTGAGGATGGCTCCATGGCTTCCCTGGCAGCCTCACTCTCTCCCACTCCCCCACCCCACTGCCCTCTCCTCCCTGCGTCCCCAATGCCCGGCCTTGGGGACTGGGTTGCCTGAGCCTGCTGGGCCAAGCCTGCCTTGCTGAGCCAGCCAGTGGGCGGGGGCAGAAGGATTACTCTCCCTGCTCCCAGCGAGTAAAATTAGCCTGCACTGGGCCGGACTGAGCTCCTGAGGCCGGCAGCTGTCATTCCTCCCCAGTCCAGCCAGTGACATCCCAATATGTCCCGGTGAGATGGGGTGGGGGGTGGCGGCAGCAGGAACTCACACAGGCCTGGGAGGGGGCAGTAGGAGACAGCGGAAGGTTTCAGGACTGGGGCGACAGAGTTCTGGAATGAGGCTGCTTATTACAAGGAGCCTCAAACTTCAGGCTGACTCCTTGTGCTAAGATTAGAAGAGATGCAGAATGCCCAACTTAGCAGAACTTGACAGGAAACCCCCACCCAACTCAGTGCCTGCAGTTATTATTGGGCCATACCCCCCCAAATTCACCTACCCCGTGCATACCCCAGAGAAACAGCTGACAGCTCCACGCTGGGGTGGAAAGTTCCTGAATGTGCACACCTAGTCACAGCACCTGTCACAAGGGGTAGTGAGTGTAGCCTTGTGGTTTCTCCCGTCCCTCTGGCCCCCAACTTTGCTGAGCTGAGTGTTCTCTCTAGGACCCACACCCCTCCTCACACAGGCTCTGGCCCAGGCCAAGTTGTCTGTGATGTTAGGTGAATGTCTGATCTGACAGAACACCTGCCAACATGGCTAACATGGGCAAGTGCTGAGGTGGGAGGAGGAGGGCAAGAGGTACTGGGTAGGTGAGGACAGCGATGGAGGACCACAAAACTCAACACATCTTTTATTTCGCCTCTTGGTGCAAACACAATGCCAGAACCCATGTGGTCTCAGTCCCCCTGGAGGCTACTACTCTCTGAGGAGAAAAACCAAAGTCCTCACCAGCCCAGAGCTAAAAGGACAAAAAGGCCACACTGGGGCTTGGGGCAGGGTAGGAGTGATGGCCTCTGCCATGGAAGCCAGAGGGCGCCCCACCTCTTCTCAAGTCTGTGGGGCTCATCGGGGCGAGTGCAGGCTCATCCTCACCCTCGGGCGCCTTCCCCAGGGAGCAGGCGCTCAAGGAGAAAGCAGTATTTGAAGCCATCTCGTGGCGAGCTGAGGCGCTGCACAAGCCAACGGCAGCCCGGCCCGCCCCTGCACCGGCGGGCACCGGCAGCGCCTGCGGCCAAGGAGGAGACGCCTGGCCACACGGCCTGTCGTGCGGTGGAGCTGGACTCCGACTTTCCCCTGGGAGCAGCCGGAGGAGCGGGAGCCAGAGGCCGGAGGACGGGCCTGGTTGCCCTCCTGCAGCCTGGAGGCGGTGCGGCGCGCCCCGGGGGCTTCCCGGCCCCTCCCTACTCCCCCCGCCCTCCCTCCACGGGCGCCCCCACTGAAGGGGATGAGGCCAGGGCGGCGGTGGGGAGGGAGGGCGTCGCAGACCCGGGGGCCCCGCGGACGCGCGAGTGGCAGGGGCCGCCTCGCGGGTGACGCGCGGCCCCAGGCGGCTCGCGGGGGCGGATGGGCCTGTGGCTCCCCGAGCGCCGGGTGTGGCCACAGGCCCGGTCAGTGGCTGGATTCCTCCGACTCAAAGAAAGGCGAGGAGGAGAAGCAAGGGGGCTCGGACGACTCGGGCAGCAGGGAGGGGGGCGCCCGGGCCTCGCTGTCGCCAGGGCAGGCGGGCCGGGGGCCGGCGGGCGGCGCGGAGGCAGGCCCGGCGCCGGGGAGGCTGCGGGCGGCGGGGGGCGCCGCGCCGTCGGGGGCGCGCTCAGCAGCTCCTGCAGGTACTTGATGTAGCGGATGGCGGCGCGCAGCGTCTCCACCTTGCTGAGCCGCTTCTCCGCCAGCGCGCCCGGCAGGTGGCCGCGGAGCCGCGCGTAGCCCTCGTTGACGCACTTGACGCGCTGCCGCTCGCGCTCGTTGCGCTTCTGGATGAAGGCGGGCTCGAAGGGGTAGTCGTAGACCCCGAAGGCGCCGGGGAAGGGCACGTAGGGGAACACGCCCGCGTAGGCGTCATAGTAAGGAGGGTCGGCCGGGCCGGGGTACAGCAGGAAGGGCACGTTGCCCAGGGACTCGGCAGGGGTTAGGGGCGCCTGCCGGGGAGGGGGCACGACGCCCAGCTGCATGCAGCTGGGGGGCGCCATGGGCCTCCGGTCCACCAAGGCCCGGCAAAAGTTATTGTTCATGGTGCCGCGTGCAGCTGGTCCCAGCTGAGACCCTCCCCGAACCGCCCCTGCTTGGAGTCTGCACCACCCTGCCCGCGGGGCGCGTCACATCGCCAGCAGCCGCTCCTGTTAGGACTTCTTTCCGCACGTAGAGATGTCTTCCGAGGTCTCCCTAACGCAAGCCATCACTGGGGACAGGTGTGGCCCTTTGTAGAGGCTCAGAGGGCACCTGCTCAAATCCAGCCCGAGGTGCTGAGAAACTCCGGGGGCCCTCGCCCTCCTCCGTGGGGCTGGCCCATGGACAGGTCGACTGGCCTCCGAGCCCTGTCCCCTCCTGCAGCCCAGCACCAGCACCTCCCAGCGACGCTAACCCTGGGGCTCCATGCTAGGGCCCCCAGCGCCTTGGACTTGTTTCTCACGGTCTTGGGGATCCCCAGGCTGACCAGAGACTGCTTTTCAGTGTGTGCCAGCTCAGCAGAAGGGTTCCTGGGGAATCGTTTCTAAAGAAGAAGAGAGTGAACACATCAGTTAGGAAAGACCTTGTAGGTGGCTTCTTTGCTCACACCTACAGTATAAGCAGGACAGTGTGGCCACTGAGGAGGACAGCCCAGCGGGTTCAAATCCCGTACTCAGCTCTTAATGGCTGCATGACCTCTCTGTGTCCTGGTTTCCAAATATGCAGATCACCAAAATATCTCTTATAGGAGATTAAAATGTTTGATACTCAAGTGAGAGAAAGACACCCAGTGATTGCATCTGCTCTCAAAGGTAGAAGCAAATATGTTAGACATTAGTACAAAAATCACATACCTCTCCCCTGATCAATAGTTTCGAGGACTCCCCACTGTTTTCAAGGAGAGATTCTAGAAACTCCCTTTTCAAACACGCCCTCAGCTCTGCCAGGATCAGTCTCCCTAACACACCTTCCACACTCTGACCTCACGCCTTGGCTCACACGGATGGGTCTTCGGCTGCTCCACAGCTTTCTGCTCCCCCCAATCCCGCCGTGCTTCGAGGGAGCTGTTTGCCTGAGCTTTCCCACTCCAACACAACTCGAAGTCTGTGTGTTCTGAGACTTCATGTTAGAAGGGCATGGTCTTTTAGTCTTAGCCAGTCCCTCTTGTTTCCTGGCCCAGAATGAGGCACAAAATGCACCTTAAATCCTCAAAATCCCATGCTAGTAGTGCTCTTTCACTAGAAATATGGGGTGCAGACTGTACTCTCCCATGTGATCCCTGCCTGTTCATAGTTGACTTAATTATTCAAATTTAGAGGTCAGAAGTTTATTTATACCTAACGACGATGTCCATAAATACTACCACCCATCTTTTGTGTGGTTTCCATCTTCAATAGTTAGTAATTTTCCTCACATACCGCTGACATTTTTCCAGCAAACTCTTCAGAAAATTGACTCAAACAAAAAACCTCTCAGCTTGACCACGTATTTCCTGAGTCAGTTGTCTCTTTACTGTTAGAAAACAGCAGCTACCGTGGCAGGAGCACAGGTGAGAACACCCTGCAGCACTGCACTGTGTTTCTCTTCTAACACCACTGAGCCCCCAGCTGATGTTGGAGCTGGGACATAGCATCATCTATTGCCCCAAAGAGGTTTGAATATCTTTCCCTCAGTACATATTTGCTGAGGGCCTTCTGTATACTGGGGACTGCTCTAGGTGCGGGGACTGCTCTAGTGAATAAAATATTGTGGTGAAATAACAATAATGATGACTGGAGTTATCAGAAAGGGCCACTCTCTGAGCGAGGAACCATCATCCAGTTTACAGGTGAGAGAACCGAGACTCATAGAGGCCAAGTTGCTCGCCCAAGGCTCTAGCTAGTGACATCGTGAAGTAATAGTGCTAATTGGCCGGACTCTTTGTCCCCTGCAATCTTTCTAGTGGCTCCACATTTGAACCAGAGGATGAAAGGGGCTGGCAGTGACCTAACCACAGTAGCTATTCAGTGGAGGTCCCTGTTGCAGGGGATGTCCCACTGCAGATTAAATCCACTGCCCCTCTCACTGCTCTGCTTCTGCCCTGGTGCGAGGGGGCACTGCAGGCCAAGGGTTGTCCTTGGAAGTGTAACACCCCGCTGAGGTCGCTGTATGGAGGGTGGTCACCGAGTTCTGTTGGTAGGAAGTGGAGAACTGGGGTGAAGTCAGACTGGGCCCTGCCCCAAATGATGTACCCCTGAGAATCTGACTAGGAGCCTCTTTGCCTGAATGTAGTTTGGATTTGCCTTTACTTAAATCTCTGCAGAATCCTGGCAGGATCTGATCAGCATTGGGAAAATCCATCCCATCCACTCCGTGCAGGCGACTGAGCAGAAGCAGTTGTCAGCAGCGCCACTGTGTGGTGATGAGGAGCAATGGCAGGGGCACCAGGAAGAGGTTTCCATCATCTCCTGGGTGTGGGGGTTTTAGCACTGTGCTAAGTCTGGGCGGTCTGCATGAGTCCACTGGTCTTTTAGAAAATACAGAGCAATGAAGGACCCCCAGTGAAATGCCACTGAGTTTTCTGTTAACATCTATTAATTTTCTCCCTGAGTTTGAGGATCACTATTCACATCAGTTACACTCAGTATGTGCAGACACAAAAAATTTGCATAGACGTATTTTGTTATTTGCTCTCTGAACCCCTCCCCCCTAAAAAATCACATTGTACTAGTATTAGGCAAAATTTAAAAAATTAAAGGTGTGGTTCTGAGCTAGTGTCTTGGAGATGTCCCCATATAAGTTCACCCTGATGTGATTGTGAAATGAATCAAGTTGAGTCAACCTATGGATTCCTTTGAGTAGCCACAGACTATTGACTGCTAGCAACACTGTTCACCTTTTTGAGAGGCTCTGCCTGGTTACTCTCTGGAACTGGGGGCCCCCTCCTTCCTTTCCAGCCCTGCCCCATCTGGAACAAGTTGCTTTGTTGGGGAGGAAGAAGCTCAGCAGATGCACCTGATGTTCTCCCACACAGCTTTCTTCTTTCTTTAAGCTACAGTGAAGTTTCCCTTTAATGACCATGTTGTGCTTACAGTCATACCCTGCACACTTAGTTTATCAAGTGTTCATGATCATCAACACACTGTGCAAAGAATTTTATAATATCCAGATGCAACTTGCAACAGAAAGTGTAAGTAGACTGCCAGTGGTGCCCCCTATACCTCCTTTCCGAAGCTTCTATTTCTAATTGTGCAGCAGTAGGCAACTCCTCAAAGACCCCATCAGCTCCTGGCTGTCACAGGTTGCAGGGTACCAGCAGTCCACATCCCCCTGCCCAGATGGCACTTTATTATAACGTACTGTTGATGGTTTTATGATCAGCTCCCTCTGACCCCTGTACTGGCCTTCTCCCAGGTGCCCAATCAGCCCCTTCACACACACACACACCCAGTTTCCCCAGCTCTAACACTTTCTGGCCATCAGAGAGCCCTCTCCCCAGAGTTCTTCCTGACATGGCTCCTCCAGACCCTGGCCATGAACTCTCAGTGCAAGTACCTGTCTTTTATTTCATCTTTGAGACACACAATACACTCTCATTAAATGTTTGATGATTGGCACTGGGAATCCCTGGCAAGGCTGAGCCATCCATTATCAAGCAAAGGGGGACATGAACTTCAAATAGGCGGGGCCCTTTAGGGAGCAGATAGAATAATTCTATCTTGCTAGTTTCTCACTGTCTTCATGGGGACTGGAGCCTGAGGTGGGGGGGTCTGAGGTCAGAAATTGACTAAATCCGGAAGTGACTTTGGGGAATGTGAGTTAGTTCACAGTCCTCTGCTTCTACCACTCAGATATTCCAACAGGCAATCAATCCATTGCAGTGCTTTTTGGCACCTTAACCAAGACTACTTTCAGAGCCTCCAAAAACCGGATGTATTTGTAAAGAAACCGAGGACTGGAAATGACAGCAATGATTGAATTTGTGGTGTCATCTCTCCTGTCCCCCTGCCTCCCTGCAAGGTGGTAACTGAAACCTTTCCCCAAACGGCTCCATCAGATACTTTGAAACACCTCTGTTCCCCTCCTGGAGAGCCATGGAATGCCTTAGTGTCTCCGAGAAAGCCCTGAAGTAAGAAACCTGTGCATTTAGTCCAGAATTCCCAAATGGGCCTTGGATCACAGAACCCTTTCTCTCTTAAGCCTGTAGCATCATATAGAACACATTTTAGGAAATTCTACTTTAAAATTTCCAGGATAAGTTATATATATATAAATGTCAGAGTCTCCCTTCGGGATCTGCTTAGAGCAGATTACTATTTCTAGAAGGACACCCTCACCACTCCCACAATATACATATTCAACACCCCTGAATATATATTCAGTGTAAAGTTATTTCAGAATCTCACTGATGCCACACTGGGCCTGATTAAGGAGAGGAGCCATAGGCCCTGAAGCCACAGACCCACCTGGTGCTGTTGGGGCATTAGAAATAGATGCCTCCTTTTCGGGTTGGATGCAGATCTGGGCAGGGGCTTTAGCACCAGCTCCTGCCCAGGGAGGCAGGGCTACCGTGGGCATCAGCTCCAGAGCCGCTGAGCCCCATGCCCCACCGCTGTGCCATCCTTCCTATCTTAGGTTTCAGAAAGTTCCGGTTGCTCCCAAGCCACCTGCCTGCAGCCACTTTCACCAAGGAAGAGACCACGGCAGAGTTTTGTCCTGGGCTGACCAAGCTGAGTGCTCAAGCTGGGTGGTAACTTGCTGAAAATCCCAGAGAGAGAAAAGGGCCTCTGTTGCCTGTACTTTGCCCGGGGCTTTGCCCTCCTCGTCCCCTGCAGTATCACACCCAAGGGGCGGCAGGTATCTGTTTCTGTTCACAGAGCAGAAACAGGCTCAGAGAGGCTAAGACAGCTGCTCAGGGTCACAAAGCTTGGCACCATTTATCAGCATCTGGTCTGGCTGATCCATGAGGACCTTCTTGGCTGAGCAGGAGTCCCTGACATTTTTGCAGGAACTACTATAGAATTCCCTGGGACCAGAGGTCCTCTCTCTCTCCCTTAACTAGACTCCAGCATTTGCAATGCTAGGG